AACCCCATGGTCTACCATTGGCGTCATAGTTAAGTGATTTACTTATGGTGAACCATAGGTGGTATGCATAAATGCACTTCCCAACATAAAAAAATTAACATTGCACAAAATAGAAAGAAAAAACTCTTCAAGTGAGCGAAGCTGTTCAGTAGCAGCTTCTAGTACTATTTATGTTAATTTATAAATTAAATATCTTTTTGAACTGACCCGAGATTCGAATCTATAAACTTGATAACGTTAATGTGCGTGTACAATAATAAAAGTTGTGGTTGTAGAGAATTAATATTTAATATTTCTGCATTCTATATAAATTAAACACAGATCCTTAAGATGAATTAGAAAATATAACATCATATTAAAGCAATTTGGCTTCAAATAAATTTGTTTATATTACATTATTCGAAATGTCCAAGTTATGTTTAAAGCAACATTAAACGATATTAAGCAAATAATATTCATTTTTCAACTTTGAGCAAACGTTTCGGTCATTTGCCTCGTAGAATTAATAGCCTGTGGGCGTACTCGACTTCCATACAAGAATGGTTCTTTTTAATATTTCACCGACTTTCCTTATGATATCTCTCTTCAAACTTCTGACTTGACTTAGTTTTCTTAGATTTATATTCAAAAATGAGATTCACAGACAATATTTAAACTGAACAATTATGATTCTCTTATAACACTGCACAAAGACGATTGCACGACTGCAACAAGCTCATATAAAGTTGATACCACTTGAAAAAGGACTCCGTACATTAAAAAAACTGTTACATAAATTAGAAATAAGATTGATACGCCCACCAGTATTTCTTTGTCTATATAATTTTGATAAAAAAAGTAAGGTGAAATCCTTACAAGATTATTTGTTTGCCTCAAAATTACGATTGACATACGATATGTTTCACCTGTTGCCCAAAGAATTAGCAAGCTGAAGTGGCAGTGGGCTTTTCATATTGGTCGCGAAACGTTCTAGAGCGGAGACCACGGCCCGACAAACGTAGTATAGGAAGCCCTCCAGCTAAGTGGAACGATGATATACATACATACATATGTACGTAAAAGGACTGGTAGAAGTTGGATGCGTAGAACTGAAGATCGAGTTCAGTGGTGTGCCATAGGAGAGGTCTATGTCCAGCAATGGAAGGAAGCCGGCTGATTATGTTGATGATGGTGATGGTGATGATGTTCCACCTCAGATTCGGAGAACTGTACATACAGTACAAGTAGTAGAAGCAAGAACTACGTGGCTTTGCCATCCAAGGTCATTTTGAAATTGGTATAAAAGGATAGAGCATAAAGAAAAATATGAACAATATGGTGCACTAAAACCCTAATGAAATAATTATATGTTTAAGTGAATATTATTCAAATAATATAATGCAGGTTAATAATATACTTTTTTGAAGTTATTCTTCTTTTGGGATGTATGAAAAAAATATGAGAGCCAAATTTTTACGATGCGCCACCGACAGCCAAAAAGCGACATGATGAAGTTAGCTGCATTGCTTTTACAAACAGAGACTGCTTTTACTGCAGAGTTGTGACATACGGGATGAAATCTTTAGCTATTTTTGTTCTGTTACGCTAAAGGAGTAGAACTTCTTACATGCGTACATAAGTACACACAAGTTTTTTTTATTTAAAAATAAAGTCTATTAGTATTTATTAGTGCGCAGCTAATTTGAAATAAACGATTAAGGTCCATGCCAAGATAGCAAAAAAATCTTGAAAATCCCAACTTCTAAAATCATCTATGTAGATGCCAAACTTAACCCTTTTATTCATTTGATCATACACAATAGGTCATACAGAACTCCCATTATTTAAATTTAAGAAAACCCAAGTTATATATACTTAAATATTTCGTTTTATAAAAACATCAATAAAACAAGACGACGTAACGCGCAGCGGCCGTACCTAATAAATCTTGGCAAATGTAAAAGTTATACGAGATCTTGAGTTCCATGTGAATTATGTGTCAGGAAATTGAATTTCGGCCGAACCAGCCACTTTGTCAAATAAGGACCTTTTAGAAAATGATTACGTTTTTCTTAGAGTATGTGATTGTACGGCTAGAAACAAAACCGATAACGTGTATATTTAGTTAAATTAAACGTAAAATAAAGTAATAAGAAAACTTTCTGACAAAGATTGTTTAAATATGTCGTAAATAGTGGTTTTTGAATCTGGTGATTTTTTAAGTAGAACCGCATATCAAGTCGATGGTAAAGACATCGTGGGCAATAATATTATTAATGTCAAATTAATGTCAGCTTCAAATATCCTGACAGTGAATGTGGATATTTTCGTAAAATTTTAAAAAGGAACGTAACCTACAGGCATAATTTCTACGATGTATTATCACATTAACAATTAAAATCAAATTATGGTGCGACGGTATGGGGCGAGCCCCATACGAAATACAGGCATAAAACAAATATTTGCTTAGATTTTAGAGTATGTGTTGTTACGGCTGGAAACAAACTTTGTAAAAATTAATTCTTGTTGGAAGAAAAATATGGCAATTAGAGCCCGAGAGAGAGCGAGGTGGCCTATGGCTAGTCAATTTATATAAGAAAACTAGCGGTGCCCCGCGGTTTCACCCAAGTGAAATTTGTTTGATTATAAGCATCAGTTTTAAAATAATGTATGGAAGTCTACCCGATTTGTTGACATATATAGCCCATAACTTCCTCAATAAACGGGTTATCTAATGCAAAAAGAATTTTTCAAATTGGATTAGCTGTTCCTGAGATTAGCGCGTTCAATCAAACAAACAAACAAACAAACAAACTAACTAACTAACTAACTAACAAACCCTACGTCTTTAAAATATTAATATAGATTATTTTCAAAAACACTTAAAAAAATTAAAAGAAGTAAATTGAATCATTAATATTTCATACTCTGCGCTTATTTCGTTTCAATTGAACATAATTACCACAGTAACAAAAATTATTTAAATAAGTATTATATGTTTTGTATTAAAAACATAGGCAGTTTAAGCACAGTGGTAAAGTGTTTGCTTGGAAAACCAAGGAAAAGGTTGAAATTTGCACTCATACCTCTTTTTTATGTGTACATCATTTTCAACATTACTGCTCGCCTTACAGTAAAGAAAAATATGGTGAGAAAATCTGCATATTTGAGAGAACCTAACTAGTTTACAGAAGACAGTATTTGGCCAGCGTGTTGGTTTATTGCCCAATCCCACTCACAATAATGGACGCTTGTGCCCAGCTGTGGGACGGTAAATTTATTATTATTTCATATGTTACATACATTTGTATTATGTACGTAATAATTAGCTGCTCTGTTGATAGCGACGGGACGGTATTCATTACATGTTACATATTAATGAGTTTTTGCATGAATACTTCTATGAACAAAGGGTTTTTAGAAGTTCATTTTATATGTATATCTATTATAATGTATAATATAATGACTTCAGTATTTTTAAGCCGACTGTCCTAGATAAAGTATAATATACTTTTAGTGGGTATATCTCTACTAATATTATAAAGAAGCAGAATTTGTTTGTTTGTTTGAACGCTCTAATCTCCAACTACTAATCCGATTAGATTTTTTTTGTATTATATATACGAGTATATACACTCTGTTTCGACGTAAAAGAAGGACAAACAAACAAACTTTCACATTTATTATATTATATAATGGATGTAGAGTTACTAAAAACTTGAGTAAAACCTTGTATAGTTTTAAAAATACATTTTCTGCTATTTAAATATTAAAAAGCAAAAATTAAATTTAAAATATTCATAACTGGCTCTTTACGGAAACTTTTATTCAGAACATTACAGCGCGTTCTTTGGCAAGGTTTGCTTTTCCGAATTTATTGCTTATGCGTGTAATATATTCCCAGCGGTATTGCGCCTGCTTCTGTTGTTCCAACTAATTATGAAACTTGAATAGTTTAGACTTTAGAGGTTTTATTAAAACTAGTGATCGCCCCGTGGTTAAAAATCAACTGTAAATCATTAACTTTGGTCGATATTGAGGTTTTTTTAATCGACTTCCAAAATCGAGGAGGTTCTCAATCCCTCGGAATATTTTTTTTATGTATGTTCACCGATTACTCGAAGACGCCTAAACCGAATCGGATTTTTTTTTTGTTTCAAAGGGTATATATATACTTCCCAGGTGGTATCGTATAAATTTTATCGAAATCGGTCGAGCGGTTTTTAAAAAAATCAACAAAAAATATTTTTTATAAATTGTTTATTGGATGTTATTAAAAAACTTTCTTCTCGCAAATAGCCTGCTTATTACGTCGACACTAAAAATGGAAAAATAAAAACAAAAAAACCGACCTCCAGGCACTAAAATGTAAAATATAACTAAACGGTTCTCATTTAGAGGTACCCAATCAGATATTTTCATCAGAGAATAGATAGGTAACCAATCAGATATTTTCGAAGTCGGTGCCAGCCGACATACCTATAGGTATATAGGTTTTTTATAGTATAACTATTGTTCCTGTGTTGAGGTGATACAGACATTACATAATATTTTTATTGCATCTAAATCAAATATTTTTATTTAAATATTACCGCATTCTTTGGCAAGTTTTGCTTTGCCAAAATCGTTTATGCCTGTAATACATTCCCAGCTGCATTGAACAAAAGCATTGCGTCCGTAAACGTTGCTCTAATTACTCATCTAGAGTTAGAGTTTTAGGTTGGATGTTTCATTGTGCAATTCTTACGAAATCATAATGTTACTTAAATCATTTATTTTTCTTTATCGAAGAAAAACACAGATGTCTCTGCCAAATGCCTCACCACTGTCCTTTTAGAGATGCTACAAATTGACATGAAAATTTGGCTAAATCTGTGATGATTATTATTAGATTCATATCTTATAGTTTTTCATGTATTAAATAAAATTAATAATTTTAGAAATGAATTAAAAATTAAAAACATTTTTTGTACTAAAATATTTACTATAAATAAATATAAAACAAGTATTCTACAAATTTATTCATCCATCAGTCCCATGATCTGCACTATATTCAAAAACAGGTTAATTATTGAATTATAAAGCAAATAGGCTCCTAAAGCGTAGTCATTTTCTCCCATCTCTATCGATCTACCACCTAAGATCATTTGCAATTCCATGATCAACACCTTAAAAAATAAAATATCATTATTCAAACTAAATAATAAAGATGTATAATTTCAAATAAAACTATCTTTCCGGATTTTCACGCGGATGCTTTTTTGCGGGAATTCTCGGACTCCCGTGACTGTGACATGATTGCTATTATTAAAGCATTCAAAACTTGGAGAACAAAAAAACAAAAATAGTTTTATATAAAATGTCAGATACTTAAAATAATGCAGAAATGACTCTCACTTGAAAAAAATTAAATAGAGGTAAAGCCAAACAACAAAACTATATTTAAATATTTCTTTTTTTTACGCCTCGCTCCATAATCGTTGTCTGGATTTAAAAAAAAACATAACTGTTACAGAAACTAGAATGTTATAAGTCTCACACAAACATCACATGGTTAAATTAAATACAAACGGTTAAGATTCTTGGATATATTGCTAATTTGCGACGTTTAGTCAGGTCAATAACGTGGAACTACTGTCAAATCGTATTTGCTACTCAAATGCGATATTTCTAGTACCAAACCCGGCTTTGATATAAAAAAGCACATCCCCTTTTAGCGCTATCTCTATCTATCGTTTTTTGTTTCAAAATAAGAAAACATATCTAAACAAGAAATAAATAAATATAGTGGGACTTAACATACAGCACCATCTATATCCATGGTAAACTACAAAGCAGGCAGATTGATACACCACATAATATATAAATTAAACACATACATATTATAAATATAAACACCCATGACTCGAGTGGGACAACAAACATTCGTATTCTGTACCCATCATAAAATGAATGCCCAGGCGGGACCCCTGCGACCGCTGGCACAGCAAGTAGAGTCACTATAAACTGAGCCAAACGTGTCATCATACTTAAGTATTTTCAACTTACCACCACGTTTATAATGGCTGCTATGAACAGCATCACTATTTGCAACGGCTTGTACCTTACGTTCATGACAAGCATCGCTATCGAGACCATCAGAGACACAACAGTGAATACAACGATAATTGCTACTATGTAAAGATACCATGCAGTGAAATCGAACTGAAAATAATAAGAAATGTTCAATTAGTAATTAATAATTTATAAAATACTAGCAAAACCCGCGGCTCCGCTCGCAACTACAAAAATACCTCTGAATAGGTAGGTTTCATACCAACTTTCATCCCCTATTTTATCCCTTTATGAAATGAATTTAGAAAAATGCTAAAACAGGTATCTATTTAATTGTTTTGAAGAGTATTAATACCAAGTTTCAAGTAATTTTAATCATAAAATTTTTTTGGGTTGTATTATAACGTGTGTTCCCGTGGGAATGAAATAATCTCCCGCGGTAAAAAGTAGCCTAAATCACTCTCCAGCCCTCCAACTATCTCCACATAAATATTACATCAATCGTCACTCTGTTTTGACGTGAAAGAAGGACAAACAAACAAACAAACAAACAAACAAACAAACAAACAAACAAACAAACAAACAAACAAACAAACACACTTTCAGACTTATAATATTAGTATGGATTCGTATTTTTTATATTTCTACAAAAGTTATAAGGCTTACTGTACGGTAATAGCTAATTAAATCTAAGTTTATTCTGAGGCGAATACACTTTGGAAAAACTAATTATTATCGCTACAATTTTTACCATAAAAGGTCGTGAATTCAAAATATGAACGATACAAAAATGCAAAAATCGACCAAATTATATTTGATCTTATCAAATTGAGTGAGTGGACTAATTAAAAATAACTTATTCTACAAAATTCTTAAAAAAGCTTACACTGCTGGAAGCCAATAACAAGCAAACGGCAACAGTGACAGTTGTAGCAACGATTGCAAATATCAAAATATGTGTTCTATATCTCACGGAGATAGCAGCTACTAAATTACTCATCGCAATAACCTGGAAAATTGCAAGTTATTTGAGATGTAATATTTCTATACAAAGCTGCGAAATCATCCGAAAAGTTAGTTTTATTTAAAATAGCCTTTTGATTTTGTGTAGACATTTGTATCATACAAATAACTATATCGGTAAGAGATTTTATCTTAAACTTAACTTGATATAAAAATAAATATTCTAGGAAGAATAAAATTAGAAATAAGAACATTTATTTTGCGTCCCTAGTTACGTTTCTCAGAAATTAGATATTTTCCCGCAGTAAAACGTATCCTATATGTTGAGCCGGATAACCAGCTATCATCATACTAAATTTCGTCAAAATCTGTCCAGTGGTTTCTCGTGATGCGGTCACAGACAGACAGACAAAAATTCTAAAAACTATACATTCGGCCTCTGTATCGATAATAATGTTTATTATAATAAGATTTTCCAAAAAATATTTAACGTACAAATTCGGATTAGTTACAATTTTATTATATGTATAGATCAAATATCTTACCACTATGAATAAAGTAACAAAATTACAAGGTGGTACTCTCGAACACGTTGAACATATCATCACATAGTTCATTCCCATTAAAATTACCCTGAAAACAATAGTAAGCATCTTATGACTTATCTTAAAAAATATTGCTAAAATATTATAAACTTTTTATAATATTCACCCTAACATCTACACCTATATTATAACCGGAAAGTGTCTTTGTTTGTTGGTTTGTTTGTTTATCCTTCTTTCATGTCGACGAAGAGTGACGATTGACGTGATTTTTTTGTGTGGAGATAGTTTGATGGGCTGAGAGTGACATAGGCTACGTTTTGCCGCGGACTTTATCTCATTCCCAATGAAAAACACTGTATAATACAACCCACAATAACTCATCATACTTATGTATATATTATACTAGAGACTCACCATCGCTCCGCTCGGGTTCGTCCCTACTTACGTTTTAAATTTTAGTATAGTTTTCTCAAAAATGAGATATTTTCCCGCAAGAAAAAGTATCCTATATGTTGACCCGGATAACCAGCTATCATCATACCAAATTTCATCAAAATCCGTCTAGTGGTTTTTCCGTGATGCGGTAACAGACAGACAGATAGACAAACAAAAATTCTAAAAACTATAAATTCGGCCTCTGTATCGATCGATAATAATGTCTATTTCAATAAGATTTTCCAAAAACTAATTCATGTACAGATTCGGCTCAGTTATAAATTTATTATATGTATAGATAAATATTGTACTCTTATCTATTCCATACTAACCGTTAAAACGTACCTAGGGACGAACCCGAGTCGCTAGGATGTAGTTTATTTATGTAAAACTGCTTTACTTCTTATAGTAAATTATATTAAATTGCTTATAAGTTATAACCTCAATATTTCGATAAATGCAAGTAGAATTTTTTTGTTCTATCTCATAATTCCTGAGAAGAGCGCCTTCAAATAAGCCAAAAACCAGGATACAAAAATACAATTTTTTCCCCTTAATAATAGTAGTATACAATACGTTTCATACTTACATGGAACAAATAATCATCGGCATACCAGCTACTAAATAGAAATGTTTCAAAGAGGGTCTGTAAAAATAAATATAATATAGTTAAACAGTGTCGATAGACAGAATAATTTACAAGTGGATAATCTTTCAACTTATAATATTTCAGGCCGTTTTAAATAGTCAATAAATAACAAAAAAGTATTCAGTAAAAACAGTTTTATTTATCTTTTCGTATATATTTGTTTCTTCTAAAGCAAAATTTTCTCGGTTTTCTCGGTTCGTCCCTAACTTGCTTCCTAATACACACTTTAATCCCAATTTCATCCCCTTAAGGGATGATTTCCGAGATAAAGAGTATTCTATGTCCTTTCCAGGGTCTCAAACTATCTTCTTACTAAATTTCATCTAAATCGGTTCAGTAGATCCAGAGATTAACCCCCTACAACGTCACAAACTCACAAACTTTACGTCTTTATAATATTAACATAGATGAGGGAAGATGGCGCCACCAAAAAGCAATTAAAATAGCAAATAAAATATGACATTATAGCGTAAACTTACGTTATCAAAACAACAAAAAGGTAACAACCAGTAGTAGTAAGCATGACCAACAATATAGCAAAGACTAGTTTTATGAAGGGATTCCGACTTTGAGGTTCATAGTACATAGGAGTTCCGGCATCATAATTTCCTCCATATGGTCCATAACGTCCAAAGTTCTGATGTGGTCGATCAGGTTGATCTTGACCCTGACCTTGGCTGTATGCTTTGGACATAAAATTTAACAATTAAACTTTAATCATTATTATCCATAAAAACCGTACAGATGAACATAGAACCTCCTACTTTTTGGAAGTCTGTTAAAAAGTTTATAATATTTTATTATATACGCATTTAAACATATATATAATATATTTATTTAAGTGTTTATAATTGAGTAACTGCACATTAGCCTGCTTTTTAATACTATTTCTCTATCTCACTTAGGTTGATTGGAAGAAATATCTTCTAGAGATAAGTCCACCTTTGCTAACAAATTTTATTGTATGTTAATTTCTGTATTTGATATATAAGTGCAATAAAGAACCCATACTAATATTATAAATTTGAAAGTTCGTTTGTTTGTTTTTTACTTCTTTTACGTCGTAATAGAGTGACAGATTGACGTGATTTTTTGTGTGGAGATAGTTGAAGGACTGGAGAATGACATAAACTACTGTTTACCACGGGTGATTATCTTATTACCAATAGAAAACACGTTGTAATACAACCCAAATAAATATTTATGATCAGAATTACTCGAAACTTGGTATTTATACTCTTTAAAATAACGTTTATATGATAACTAATACATAACATATTAAATATTGTATATTATTATTTACTATAACAAAATGTATTTAACCTCGATTGTATTGTATCCAGTGTGTTATTTTACGACTTTTACGAGCATTATGTAACTCTGTGTTTTCTACTTCAATTCTAGCTGTTTCTACAACATCTTCTAGTACTACATTTGGGACTGTATCATTTTGTAATCTATTTTTAGTATTAGTCTCGTGAGTTTTATCTAAATTATCATTATTATTTTGAGATTCTTCAATGACAATAGTAGTTTCCACTTTTTCATTTTCTAATAATACTTGCTCTGTTTTAATAGGTTTTGCTTTCAAGACTTCAGCTTCACTCATACGGTCTTCACTATTTTCTCATTGATTAAAAATTAAATAATTATATAATTAACATAAATCAAAAAATATCAAAATTACCAAACTGAAACTTTCCTCTGTCAACTTATTGTCTCATAAAGAAGTTTCTTTTTCCAAGAAATATACTAAAAAAGTTTTTATATTACGTATTTTATATTTACATGAGAACATCTATATAAATAAAAATCAGTGCTTTTAAGCGCATAACCCAAGAATGGCTAGACAAATTCGGGTAATTTTTTTTTTCGTATATTCCTTAAGGTTTACGAAAGGTTTTAATAAAGAGAAAAAATGAAAAATTAACGAAACAAAAATTAAAATTTATATGGCTAACGCTCGCTAATAGCTATTTATATCTATTTAAAACGTACCTACCGACGAACTCGAGCGACGCGAGGGTGAGCCGCTAGTTAATATTAATAATAACTTACAATAATATATAGTAAAATTCTATATATTAATAGCAATGATAATAACTCGATATTTACGTAAATATCGAGAAAGACTCGGTTGCGTGTAAGGGTGAGGTTAATTAAAGCATGGCATCTTGTTAAAAGTTTTACTAAGAATTTACTAGCAGCTAGCATTTTTGCCACTATTCCACGCGGACATGACTTGTACAGTAAGAATTAAGTGTACATTTATTTTGTATATATAATTAAGTATATTTGTAATTTTCTTTATTGTAATTAAAATAACAAGAATTTTCTCTGGTGCATAAAAGCATTCTATAAAATATGTTGTAAAACAATGAAACACTTTTCCTGATATAATCGTTATCTTGACAGTAATTAATAATATTTCTATACACAACAGAAAATCATACGTCCCGCCCAAACGTCAATCAATATGTCCTCGTCGTCATACTTTTCCTGCCTACCTGACACCTGCGTAGACGAACACCACAGAGGTTGTATGAAGGCGTACTTGATGTCTTCGAATAAACAAGCGGCGCGTAACAATATAACCTAGCCACGAACTCAGACGTGATATTAGAGTGCATAAACACAAGTGCACCCTCTATTCATTTTATCTTATATTCTTTTGGAGCCACCTCGTCCAATAAGAGATTAAGCATAAGATTAAGAGCTTTCCACACAACACCCTTTTGCAAAACACACAAAGATAATAACAACTTTAGAAACGCCATGTACTGAAATTTCAATAATGATACTTGGTTCCAATCTAGACATAGATTTTACAACCGTTCATGCTAGCTACTAGACCAATGAGACAGTAAAAAGAAATAACTTTAAATTATGAAACACCAAAATTATACATATGTTTGCTTATTTTAAGCAAAAGTACAGAATAAATTAACAATTTTAGTACACAATTTTTTTAATATATACAACTTAATATTCTAAAAATATTATACAAAGTTTGCTATGTTTATGAAATTTGTTTTAGGCAGATTAATGTGCGCCGGACACGTACTTCCTTGTTTTCATTCATATATTCGCACTCTCCTGAAGTGCATTTTAAAAAATTCAAAGCGACTATATAAATTTATCTGCCAGTATTTTTTCCGGTGTCGCGGAAAAATTACTTCATAAATTTTAAACGTTTTTTTCCAAGTTTAACAGTTAAAGTACAATTTAATGGGGTTAAAGGTTGTGTTAAAATCTATTCATAGAAAATTAGGAACGATTTTTTCATCCTCTGTGTTTGGAATACTTTCTATTATTACATATAGGTATAAACAAAAAAACAAAGATTAAAATAGCTATAATATTTAATGTTTCTTTCACTTTTAACGTTATTGCATAAACTCGACGTTTAAAAATGAAATTGAATTACTGTTCTTACAGTAAAAGGATGTGAGTTTTCACTTTTTTTAAGATTTAGAATTAGGAATAAGGAAACTTCAAAAAAAGCTAATATTGATTTATTGTTAATACAAGTATATTTTATAATATTTGTTTAGAATTTTAGTTTTGCATAGTTTTTTTTTCTACTTAATATAATAAGCTTTCCTTGCAGAAGCTTCTTTTTGCGTAAAAATATAAAAAATAAGAACTCTACGCGACAATTGCGAATTAATTGCACTCAATAGGCACGCCTAAAAACGATAAAACTAAGCATAAAATAGAAAAACATAAGCAAACTTATATAATTACTTATTCGATCCTTTATAACGTGACACACGGACACGGTCTTCCCTCAAATTAAAGAAGGATCCACCCACCACGTTCAACAACTATGCTGGACAAACGTGGTTTGACGGACTTCATATGTCCTTCCATAACTAGTTGGGTTCTCTCAAACAGGCAGGTTTTCACACGATGTTTTCTTTCACCGTAAGACAAGTGTTAATATCATGCTGAGTTTCTTTCGCTAGTTCTTCTCAGGTCTGAGGCTTCTTCTTTTGGAACTGGTAGTAGACTCATGACGTTCAGTAAAAAATTGTAATATTTTAAGGCTGAATAAAATATTTTGAATTTTGAATTTTTTGAATTGAATTAAATCGTAACGGTAACACATACAAGAAAATTCCCCGGATACAAACAGAATGCAGGAAGTCGAAATAGGATCAGAATATTAAAGTGATTCTTAAATTTTCCGATTACGTGCAAATATTGCATTAGGAAGAGTGACCTAGTTGGTGTAGGAAGCTCAGCCGAATACGTCGATTAAGTATTGCTAGCGATAGCGCGAAACGAATTTATTGAATTTTTGTAGTAAATATTTTCCTATTAAAAAAAAACTGTATGTATAATGTATTATTATTTATATTACTATATTGCCCTGATATTACGGGTACAATTTTTTAAGACATGTGATTGAGATATGCTCGAGATATAAGAATGTTTTGTAACAGATAATCTTTAAAATCGGTTCAAAATAGACAAAGATCGGATCATTTATAATTATATATCAATACGTAAGTTTGTCTGTGTGTTTGTCTTCTTTTCGCTAAAACGGTTGGACGGTTTTCGATGTGCGTTCTGCAACTGTATAAAAGCACATTCATAAAATTAGTGTGTACGTTCATTTTCATTTTGGCGTATGATTACTCGATTAAGTGCTTCACGCGCGCCAGTGTAATCATTAAATGACAATTAATTTGCATAGGGGGTCTTTTAAAATTTTAATTTATAATTATTATGCAATAGCTTACATCCTCCATAACTCCAAAAAAAACTAAAATTTAGTATAAAAAATATCATACCGATACGGATACTTTAAACGCTCGCCAATTCGCGCATTTGGCGTGACGTCACAGTATGATATACACAGAAAAATGATGACTCAATTTGTAGTGACAAAATCGCTGACGCCATATTCGGTCTCTCTAACTACTTTCAATTTCGCTTTTGCACATTTTAATAATTATTTTCTTAATTAAAAAGAAATTACATCAAAAAATATTAATATAGGCTTAATTCAAAAGCTATAAAGATTATAAAAAAAATATTTCACCTTTATTTAAATGTCACGCATATTGCCTATTAAAAAATAAGAGCAAAATAAAACAGAAGCATATTATGTGGGTTATAAACGAATGGGAAATTTTTCTCAACGAAATATCTTAAAACTAAACTGCTCAGAAAGTGGGCTCTACTTGTAATAATGGCTGTAGTAAAACTTTGCAATTTATTTAACTAGCAAAAACTAAGTTCACGAAAAGTTATTTTTCATGTTGCGTTTGTTCGTTGCTGGTAAACCTGTAATGCTTTATTTTTACTTCTACTTCACATTTATAGTAAGGCTGGGAATATCCGGTATCCTATTTTTAGAGTGATAGAGATTTTTTCGCTCAATGAAATATGTCCGACGGCATTTATTACCAAGTCTACTTTTCTTTATACCCTTAGCTTTTTTACGATATGAAATGCATTCACGCAGCAATACATACCATCTGCATACATACAGGTGGTTATATGGGACTAAAGGGCTGAAAAGACCAGTTCTACTTACTAAGACTCAGTTCGTTTCTTGGCTTCGCGCCTGACTGGATTGCTGGACGCTTCATACAAATAATATGCTATAAAGACTAGAAAAAAAAAGTTTGGCATTCTTATTTTTAATTTTATAAACAGTTAGTGAATTAGAAAATTAGGTGGTTTCTTCGGCCTCTTAGACCCAAATAGATCCGGATCTAACCCAGTACCTCCGGATCTGCAGCCTTTCAAGGTATCCACTAGTGACTAGACCAACGAGACAGTATCACCTACAACCCTAATATAAGCTTACACTCTCTCATTACTATCTATACTCAAGTATCACAATGCATCATTAGCACTATTATCGACCTTTCTTACCCCATCATCATTTCTATATGAATTTTCGATGTATGAACGAGTAATGTAAGCATTAATTTCCATATTTTTAACTTTCAAATTTGAGGAACTTTGTTATAAACTTTTGTCCCTTATATCTTAACCACTCTCACCTTTATTATTGAAGAGCCCTCGTAAAAAGTTCCATGCTTTGCATATCCAACAGTGAAGGCTGTAGGTTATCTGTCAGTGAATCGCTGAATCAAATCTAAAATAATTGAAAAAGCATTACATACAGGTAAATTTCGAATTATCAGCTTATAATTTAATTAAAGTAAATAAAATTTCATTAAAATAAAATATTCTTCATAAGTATAGTAATTTACTAACAAAATATGAAAAATTCTGAAATAAATGATTATTATTATTTAAAAATAATCGAGGCTCTATTTTAAAATTGTAACAGTTAAAAACTTCTAAACTGGAGTGCTACCGAAAAAATCATGAGCTTAACATGCAAAAATGTAAGTTCAAAACATACATCAGAAGCAAAATCATATGGCATCGTTATTTATCAGGTCTACAAGTATGAAATGCGGATTTTGTTTTCTAAAAATTTTTTCCCATCTTTTGGGCAATTTGTGGATACCACGCCAGTAAAAATCTTCCTCTTTTTCTGCGAGCCATTCATCGAGCCATTTTTTTACATCTTCGTACGAACCAAAGCGCTGCTCAGCAAGTGCGTGACCCAAACTCGAT